ATATTATATGTCTCAGTTCCCCAAAATGCAATTATTACGTATCACAAACATATAACAATAAAAATTAAAAGCAAAAAGAAATATCATAGAAGTAGCTTTTATTTTGAAACACTAACAGATCAGATATTTAAGTTTTGAACATAGAAGCTCTTAGAAATAGTATCCTTTTGTTGATAATTGGATTTAAAGATGTGTGTGTGTCTGTGTGTCTGGGGTGATGAGGACTGAACTCAGTGCCTTGTGCATACTAGGTAAACACTTTACCCATAGCTACAACTCTAGTTGAAAGAGAGATTTCTAAAATAATGCATTCATAGGATTTTTAGGGCCAGTATTAAAGTGTGTTTGAAAAAATCATAGGCAATTAAAAAATAAATGAAATTTTTCATTGGTAGTTTCTTATGTATATACATAAAACTATATGATATCAAGTATTTTTAGAACCAGTGAAATTTAATCTACCTTCATTTCATTCTCCATAATTTAATATTTGAAACTAAGTCTGTTAAAAGGATTCTTACATTATCTATTACACATTCAAAATTGGCTTTATTGCTTTTACGCTAACTGCACTATTATACTAAAACATTTACAATTAAATGCATAGTTTGATATAGGAGAGTAGGTAATTTAGCTTCTTTCCAGAAGAATGGGAATAAATGCCATAATTTGATTTGGAGGCTTTTTTAACTATATTGTTTGTCATATTTGACCTCCAAATAGCTTTCTTAAGCTCACTTCTTTAAAATGTTGGCTCGCTTTTGATTTGCTTCAAATGGAATAATCTTGCCTATAGTGTAACTGTAATATCTAACTGCTCATTGTATCAATTGCAGTTAAGGTTAAATATAACTACCAGTAGGTATCTGTGAGAGACTAATTCCAGGACCCACAGATAGTGAAATCTGCTGATATGTGCAGGTCCCATATAAAAATGTAATATTTGCATACAACACATAATATCCTCCATTATGCTGTAAAGTATCTCTACTTATAACGCCTCACACAATGTAAATGGCTGTGTAAATAGTTGTTAGACTATTATTTAGAGTATGACGATGAGGGAAAAAAATGTGTTCATTTTTTTGTTTTGTTTTTTTAGTAGTTTTGATCTGAGGTTGGTTGAATTTGCAAATGCAAAAGCTTTGTGTACAGGGCTGAAAGTGTATAATGTATTCATAAAATTTGTATTTAAAGCTTTAGTATTTTAATAATAATACTATAACACATGTTCCAGGGGCTTTTTTTCCTTGAGAAAAGTCTCAGTTGTGGGTCAGAAATTGAAGAAATTATGTAATTATTCACATTTCAGGTTTTAAATTTATAATCTCTTGCCTTGCATTGTCCTTTAATCAGAATTACTTTTTAGGTAGAAGTACATTTTATGACAAATGTGCTATATCTTTGGTTATTTTGTGTTTTGAGACTGTGGGGCAAACTTCTTAGGACGGCATTTTCTCTTTTAGGTTTGTGCCAAGAATTACCTTTGTTTTCATGAAAATGAACACTTCACAAAAGTTTAATTGCACTGTGGTTTTTGGTTGTGGCACATGTGTGAATGTGAAAAACAAAACGAAATACATAACTTTTTGTGGCTTGTGTTTTTCATTGGCAGCCTTCAAGCAAAATAAAGGCACCTGAGGAGAATTTCTTCAATGTTCCTGCTTTCTTAACTGTCTCGGGACAACTTCATCTAGAAGTGATATCAGGGTACACAATTTTGTTTTCTCTTTTACTTATGCTGTCTGTAGTTTGGGTAAGAAGGAAATAGTACTTCCTTTTTAATATTCAAACCTAAAAATTAACTCTTTTATCATTAGTCCCCTTGAATTTACCAAATGTATTTTTAGATTGACAATTTGATAATGTCCAAGTTTTTTATTTATAAAATAATCACATTAGTCTGGACATTGGTTTTTAGTTTTAAAAAGCTATAAAATTGAAAAAATAAAGCGTTTTTTTTTTACTAATTATTCTTGCTGTCCCACTTTACATCCGAGATAGCTATTATCCCATTTCACTTATGAATTAAGAGAAGTACCTAGAACAAATGAAAGAAAATACGTTTTCAATAATTGATTTAAATACTATGAGATACATTAGAAAGTTGTTGAAGAAGAGCAATGAATGTGGCTGGGGATTTAGCTCAGTGGTTCCGCCACCTGCCTCAGAAGTACAAGGACCCAAATTCGATCCCTGGTAGCAAAAAAAAACAAACCAAAGCAACACCCACAAGAGCAAATGAATGTTAGCCACTATTAGCCCTCTGAAGTGATTATATTCCTTTTCCTTAAACAAGGAATTGAGCAAGAAGCTCTTGTTCTGTATAAAGCTTATATTCTGTGTTTCTATGGATAATTTCTTAATTCTGATCCAACAAATACTGAATTTCCTATGTATGTCTTTGTTATCTCATATAGAGATTAGGACTTTAAAAATCTCTCTGAATGAAAAGAAAGAAATCTGTATTGTTCCCATTGTTCTTAAAATGTACAGATACAAAAAGTTGAGGAAAGCAATAGAATAAATTGAATGTTTATTTATGTACATACTTTTTGGCAGGATGGAAAACCAATGATGGAATTAAGATGTTCTTGAAAATAACATATTCTGAGGTTATTTTCTGATTTATCTTTAGGACAGAAATATGTTATTTGTTAGTTCTGATGGTAGTAATCGACAGTTTTATCAAGAATACTATGCAGAAGAACTATCATCATAATAGCTGTGAAGCCCAGAGATTTAGCTCAGTGGCACCGCGCCTACCTGGCAAGCACAAGGTCCTGAGTTCAATTCTCAGTATCAGAAAATAATAATGATAATAATAATAATAATAATAATAATAATAATAATGATAATAATGATAATAATAATAGCTCTGTGATACTGTAGGATCTGCAGAGCTGGCTGTGGGCAAACCCATGTCAGGAATGTCATGGTAAGATTTTTTTGCCTGTGAAATTATAATTTTTAAAAATGAAAGATATCATGCATAAATATAAACATGTATCAAAAATTTTATCCTATTCATTAATTACTGCAGGAACAAGAGAAATAGTGTATTTTGGAGAACTTCTGAGGAACCCTGTATTCATATGCAATTTAACAATTCGTTGAATAAGATTTCTGTGTTAGTTACAAACTGGTTGATGTTCTCCAGACCCAGTAGACCCTAACCTTGAGATTATCTCTTTTTCCTGAAGGAAATTATTTGCAACTCTACAGCCCCAAATCTACAAGTCAACATGTAACTTCAGTCTAGGAAATTTAGTTTAATAGCAAATAGGATAATGGAGCAGATATATCATCCTTAGTAATAAAATGAATGGGTCTGAGTCGCTATATTTTATTGAAAGGACATCACCTTGTTAAGGCTGTCCTCCTTAACAGCTTTTCAGTGTTTGTCAAGGGGTCTCCCCATCGGAACTGTCATGATATGGTAAAGATGTAAATTTACCAGATATTTGTTTCTGTATTTTAATACCATTAATATGTTAAACATGCTTCTTTTCCAGTACAGCGCAGTGAACTATAGAACAAATTGTACAGTGAAACTTGACAGAGAATTAGATTGGTGGAATATTGTTTTATATTTATAATGTACTATGAAATATTTTAATAATGTCAGTCCAATGCTCGTATTTTAATATGCATAGTTCTAGCATGATATACAGTACATCATGTTTCTGATTAAAGCATAATTTAATCTCCAATAAGAAATTGTTAGTGCTCTTTCCTTCATCTTTGTTTTTTGTTTAATTTTATTTAAAGGACTTTAAATGGCATAAATGGGAGTTAGATTTAGAACGTTAGCATTTTTTAAAGGGATGTCTATGTTTAGTAGGTTTATGGGTGCATTTTAAAGCGATTTTTAAAAATTCAGTTTTGGAATAATTTTGTTAAAGAACAGTTGCAAAGATAGCACATAGTTTTTAAATACCCCTTACCCAGTTTCCTCCCTTTTTTTTTTTAAACATCCTCCATTACCATGGTACATTTGTCAAAATTTAAGAATACAATTTTAATATATTACTTTAAATTCCAGACCTTATTTAGATTTCTCTAGTTTTTCTATTAATATCTCCTTGCTTTTCCAGGACTTGGTTCATGCTACCATGTAAAACTTAGTTGTCGTGTTTTCCAAGTCTCTTCCAGTCAGTGACAATATCTCAAGTTCTCTCTTTAATCTGGTTTTGTCTGATGTTTTTCTCATGATTAAACTGAAGTTATATGGACTTTTGCAAGAATACCACAGAGGCAAAGTGCTCATCATGTGCTGGGGAGTATGTAACAATCATACCATATGGGTGCCCATGTACACCTGCATTACTTGGATATAGTCTGTCACTAAGTCTCGTCTACTCGACCCAGGGAAGGGATGTGGAGAGGGAGATTGGATTTACCACCACTTAGAGGGATTCATCTCTTCACCTTTATTTATTTAGTCATTTATATTAGAATGGACATTTATTTTGTAGTTTGGTTGTCATTCAGTACTGTTACTTTGTTGCTTAAACTGGTTTAATTTTAGTTATTGAACATTCATGCAGTTTGATTCTTTTGTCTCTTTTACATGCCTTGTCCTATACATCCTATTCTCTGGTACCAGAGCATGCCCCAGTTTTTTGGTTCTATTTATCACCTGTATTCTCCTTTTCTTTCCTATCCTTTCCTCTTTCAATGTCCTTTCCTTCTTTTTTTCTTTCTTTCTGTCATTCTTTCTTTTGTCTGTCTTTCTTTTTTTTTCTTTCCTTCCTTTCTCTCTTTCAACAGTTGCTGAATTTCTATTCACACATCATTATCATCCTAAGTTCAGTGTTCAGTCATATGTTATATATTGTGTGTATTTTGACAAACGCATAATGACATGTGTTAACCACTATAACATCGTAGAGAATAGTTTGTAGCCCTTAAAGTCCTCTCTGCTCACTTAGTTTCTTCTAATCCCTGCAAACCATTGATCATTTGATGTCTCCATAGTGCCTTTTCTCTAATGTTTTGTGATTGGAATCACACTGTGTGTCGCCTTTTCCATTTGGCTTATTTTACTTAACTGATTTGTATTTAAAGCTTCTCCATGTCTTTTCATTTATTTTTAGTACTAAATAATATTATATTATCCATATAATATTCCTTATTCATTTATGTACTGCAGGACATCTTTGTGGTTTCAATTTTGAACAATTTTCTTAAGCTTATTTTCTTTACTCTAGCTCCAGAACCAGCCATTTCTCCAAGGAATCCTGGTTCCTTTTATTGAAGGGTGGTATTTAGAAACCAAACTTTGGTCATTACATATACTTACTGGGGGCGGCAGAAAGTTATCGAGGTTTCACTCCGTAGTCAGCTGTCTCCGAGGCAGGGTGGCATACCAAAGGGACATTGCAGATCAGACAGGCAGAAGGCAGCCAGCAACAAATGACAAGCACCAGGCTTCTGTCCAGGCTACATACCCTTAGGGCAGGTATCACTCACACCTATAAGCCTAGCATCCCAAATCCTTGATCCCAGCATCATACACCCTAGATCCAGCCACCTCCATAAAGTCCCACCTATGATCACATGAGGTTTGGAGGGACATCTAGTTTTAAGCCATAGCAGCTATTTTATGAGTAATAAACAGAAGTAAAAATAAAAGGATATTGAAAATGAGACAGTGAGTTTCCGGAGATTTAGCTCAGTGATTCTGCCGCCTGCCTTACAAGATGATGAGAGAGAGAGGGGGGGGGGATTTCCATAAAAATTTAAAGATAACATATCTAGTAATTTTTTTAATTGAGTTTATTGGTACAATCTAGGGATACAATACAGTTACATTCATCATTGGGATTCTGTACCTTTACAGAATAGGTCTTGATTCTCATTTTTTCCCCTTGTCCCTGCCCTCCCTTCACCCCCTCCTTCCATCCCCATTTACAAACACTTTATTTCCATTTTTTCAGTTTCTCATATTTTTTCCTCTCCCTTATTACCTTTCCCCCGCCCTTCCCACTTTCCCTACACCTTTAGCCCTTTACTTCCTATTTCACATTATTAATTATCTCATTAGGATCCTGTGTACTATTATAGTTTTTCACACCAAAGAAACTATTCGGTATTTCAGTTAAAGAAATCTCTGTATGAACATTAAAAATAGAGAATCCTAAAATAAAACTAAAAAGGAAAGTAAAAGAGAAAAGGCAATGATGTAACATTAAGATA